AATTAAACTTTATAAAAGAAAATATATTTAACAATAACTTTAAATTGAATATTAAAACTATAGATAAATGAAAATACGTACTAAAGTATATTGTTTACGAGTTATATAATTTTAAATGCAGTAAAGAATAGTGTATTTTGCAATTTATCGGAGTCATTTTAGTTAAGTCTGATATGTTATGACAGTTGCCTAATAACTCAAATAGACTTATATTGAATGCTATAGAGATTTGTGTGTATTTTTATTGATAATCCTTATAAAATAATGTGTTGGCCATCACTTGAAAATGTGAGTTTGAGTGGGGAGTCCTTAAACAGCTCAGAGGTATTGGTATTGATATTTGTATTTCATCTCATCTTTTCTAAGGGATACCAATGACTCCTTAATAAAGGGAATCGCATGAAAATACAGCTAACGTTGTGTTCAATTCATTCAATCGTTTATTTGTCTTTTCCATCGTTTATCCCAATTCTTATATCCGACAAAACAAAACAAAATCCAATTGTTGTGAATCCACACGAATTCTCGCTTAAAATTGTTTTGTTGCACCGATTCTCCTGTTTTAACATAACCTTTGAAAATGACATCATTTTTACATCATTTCGTGCTTTCCTTTTCTCTTTTCTCATTATTTTTATGATTCATTTTTCTCTCGTGTTTTTAGAAATTCATTGATTATTTAAAGCGTCATGTTTTTGAGCAAAAACTTTTGATTAGAGACTAATGAATATATAGTACTTTCTCATTATTTGTTTCCAAGTTTTGACAAATTGTTTTCTCGTTAAACATTCATTTCATTTCCTAAAACAGGCCTTAAAGGAAACAAAGGAGAGAGAGGACCGTTCGGTGATAAAGGATCTGAAGGGAGTCGAGGCCTACCCGGCCCCAGAGGACCGCCAGGCAATAAAGGTATTACTATAGGTTTTATTGATTTCCCCTCAAATAATCACCACTTTGTGGCAACAATTTACTAAGTGATATGAAATGACTTTTGACTAAATCACAAATATTATTTTCGCACAGAGATTAAAAATATATAACATAATTAAATAAATATTTCAAAGTGTCTCAAGTCAATTTATATGAGATTGAATCTAAAGTAATAAATGCTAGCGTTTGAGATGATATCTATTGTGTAGTGTATACTGAATATATATATAATATATTAAATATTTGGTCTTTTTGTGTGATATTATGATTGCAAATAAGAAGACAGGTTTGGCTGTGACTGGCGTTAAGAGCGGTTGTCTTTCACTACAAGTAGTGTTTCACTGACTCTTCAATTAAATGAAGTGATCATCACTTTTATTAATATATTTCTCTGACTCCAACCTTAGCTTTATTTCATTTCTAACATACAATTTCCTCTGCATTTATTTGAGAAAATTTATGAAAATCTTATTTATAAAAACAGTTTATGAAATAAAATATTTGATTCATATCTTAGTTGAATGAAATCAAGTGTTTAACTATATTTCAATGGATGTAATATTTATAGCAAAAGACATGCTATTATTACAAACACATATTGGAATCGATTTTTGTATTCCGTGTTTGAGTGCAAAACTACAAACTCATAGCAAAACTACAAACTCACAGCATTTACAGAGCATTCACTTTACAGTATATTGTATTGAATTGTATTTTAGTTTATCTATGATTCTGGTGTTAAACCGTTTCTCGCGGGACAACAAAACCGACGCCTAATTTATATTGAATAACATTTGCGAAACACTACAGAAATCCTTTACCATTCAATTCGTTTGCATTCATCTTTGCATACAATCTATACTTGAGATGAATTGCTCTCAAAAACTCGTATATTTCATATCATATCCATACGAATGACATTTGTGTTGCCATTTCCCATAGGATTGCGTTTATGATAAATGCGAACTAAACGTAAACCTATTTATTGATGAAAATAACAGACAATACATTATATTCTGTATTCAATACATTGCCAAACAATACCCAAACCACTCGTGTCTTATGTTTACAAGAGTACATGTTTTGTAGTTTAATGATATTAAAAATCATTTCATATAATCTACAGGTGAACCGGGTCTCGATGGCCGAGAAGGTCTCCCGGGAGAGCCCGGATTAGACGGAACTCCTGGAAGGGATGGCAAGAATGGACAGGACGGTGTGTCAGGACTCCCTGGCATTCCCGGAAAAGCTGGTCTTGTCTTTCAATTAATTTTAATATAAAAAATATTTCAAAATTATATTTGAATATTGAAATATTCTAACAAAATGCAATATAAATATTTTCGTTTTAAACATTTTGTATTTTGCATTAATAATTTTAAACTCGGAATATTTTCTAAAATTTATGCATTTGAACTAGTTTCAATTTTAGTTACGTTTCAAATTCTAGAATTTTATTACTAAAATAGTTTTAATATCGAAATAAGTGGGAGTAGTAAGATTTCTAGTCTTTCCTCTAGTGATAAAACCCATTAAAAAGTCAATAAAATAACTCATGGCTTGAAATTACAGTAATTTATTGGTTCAGACCTAACGTGCGAGTACTCAATGCTCTAAAACTATATTTATACACTAGTATTATATTAATTATGATATATTGCATTTCATATCAAATCTTTGAAATACAAATTCAGAACATTGAAAATAATATTAATAATATTTATTTTATATGTAAACATATTCTTATAAATAATGCAATTCTTTAATCATGTTTTGTCTCCTCTTATATTCAAACACACACTGAAAATGCAATTTTCTCGACACAGGACTTAATGGTACAAATGGTGAGTAAAGTTATGCTTTGCATCCCTATCCCTATCCCTATAGAGATACGAGTTTTTCTTGTTTGGGAGTTAAGTTGTTGAGTCTTAGTAAACATATACTTTATTATACGATAAGACAATTCACAACACTTTCACTTTTGTCAACTTATTAGCGAATAAACGCAATGAAACTGTTTTTCACAACTAATCAAATATTTATTTTTTCTGGACTTGACTCGCAATTCTGTTTTTTATTTCTACACATTCTGTATTACAAGTAATTCTGTAATATTTATATACAAAATAATTTAAATTTATACAAAAATTTAACCGAATCCTTAATAATTTATACTATTTGACATTAATTAAAATTTATTAAACATTTTATGTGATTCATGAGAAACCAATGTGAAATAGACAAATATATTAATAATTCATTATAATTTTATTCTTTATGATAGTTAGTAAAACCATAATAACTATAATATCTGAAAAATATTAGTATTTTAGAAAGTATTTATATTAATATAGAGGCACTATGTTTAAAAATAGAATAAATTAATATTCTTTACAATTTTTCTAAAATTCAATTTAATTCTTTAGTAGAGTTTTGCAATTTTGTATTTAATAAGTTTTAAAATAATAATTCTTTTAATATTAAGTTTTTGTGAATGGATTGAATATTGAACATTTTGGAAAGATTTTTAGAAATATTCTCTGAGAAATTATCTAGATATTATATATGCCTACAATTTTTTGAGCCCTTATTACATGTCAGTCAAAATGATAAAATATTTTATTGGTTAAATATGTTAGTAAAAATATTTTTATTTAATTTATTGTTAATTATAGTGTTTAGAACTTTTCCAGAAATTTATGAGTAAATTATAGTGGACTTTATAAACAGTCAATTGGCTGATAATAATTGGCTTTAAAGATTGATAGATTTGAAAAATACACGAAAGGGCAGTCATACTTATAGGTAAAGGTATGGAAAAATAGTTGAAATAGTGATGGTAGTGATGGACCTATTTATACGCTAAACATATTGCCTATAAATGCACTCTTCGGGAAGGAATGAAAGAAAAGCTAATCTAAAGATTCCGTGAATACAATATCAGTAAAGAGTAATTCATTGAATTTGTTGCACTCGTTGTGTTGTCTTCGTGTGACTATAGCTTCGTTAGAATATTACAGAATTTAGTCTATTATGAGATGAGTTGAGCGCACATTCACTGCATTCACATCACAACACTTTAATCAAATTGTGTCGACATTTCATTTTTGCCATTGCATTGTCTTAAGTTTGCAAATATTAATATCTTATAGTCAAGTATTGGCACGTTTTCCTCATAAACCAATCGTTTTCTCTCTTCTTCTTCTTTAAGTCAATTAATTTTTTACAAGAATTTCTTTTTTTCAATTTTATTTAAGTTTTGCATAAAAAAGTAAAATTTAATTCAGTTAGTGAGTAAGTGCTCACATATAAACCAATTAAATATTTTATGCATTTATTAAATTTATGTCATTTTGGTTTTGTTTTGTGACTAATCCTTCAGCTCTAATGAATTTGTTGACAACAATTTTGTGTCAAAATAAAAATTTTCAAAATCTTTGTTATTTAGAATAATTAACCACATTAACACTTTCATTGAATAAATATTAATAAATATTAATTAATATTTTGTTCATATAATGTATAATTTAAAATATTAATGCTATTCCCAGGACTAGTGTTAACAGTAGTATTCTTTAACAACACTGACTCTGTTTTAAATCCTTAAAGAGATGTATAGTTTGCAGAATATTTTCAGTACAAAAATTGTCTTTTATATAACACTACTTGGATTATAATTGTATCTCAGAGTCACGTTTTGGATCAATAACTTTGTTATAGATATGAGACGACGACGACTACCCGTCTAATAAAAAACACTGTGTATTCAAACATATAAATTACTTGAGTGTAAGGTTTTAGTAAAATTTGTCGAGTTTTCTTTAAGTTATGCCAAATTCTAAATGATTTCTTAATTTAAACTGAAATTGAATTGAAATTTCAATAAAAATAAATATAAGAATTTGTAAAATTCTGTGAAATATAAAATTATAATATTCATTTATACGGAAAATGTTTTACTAATGTAGGAATTTGGAAGTTTTCTATAAGATTTAAAGTGTGTTTGATAAACGCATATAAAAGTAAACACAATTATAAAATGAAATTTATTTCGTATACAGTATAATATTTTAGACATGAAAAGTAAATACTCTGTAGTCATAAATTTGTTTGTTTAATAATTACAACAAATATTGCTTTTTATTATTTTCTAAAAATAAATCTTTACTTAAATACATTTTACTTAATATACATTTTAAAATTCTGGGACAAACATACAATTAAACAATTTTTTTATTTAAATTTACTTTTATTTGATTGTCTTTTCCATCAATTATTCTTTTCTTAGTAAATGTGTTTTGAATTCAAAATGTTTGCACAAAATAAAATGAAATAAAATTATAACCTTCATTCAAACCTTTGCATTCAATTTCAAATAAAATTCTTACTTTTTTGAATAATTAGATTAACAATAATTTTGAATAACTAGTTACAACCACTGAGTGACGATCATATAGGGAATTGATATTATAATTTCAACATACTGTACACAGTGTACAGTATTCATGTAGCATTTTCTCTGAAAACATCTTTTGCTAAATTGTGTGCATTCAACAGAAAAATAATTATAAATCTCTTTTAAACTATAGCTTATATATGTGTTGAAAAGTAATTTCCTTTAATCTGAACAAAAAACTATTAATTCGTAAAAAAACTCATTTAAAAAATTTTTAGTATGAGAAAATATTATTTTCAAATTTTGAGTATAAAATTGTTTTTATAATAAAACTTTTTAATTTGCCAGGTATTCATGGAAATAAAGGAGATCGTGGAGCTCAGGTAAGCCTTTTTACAATCTGCTTAACCAAATAAATATTAAATTTATTATTTTTTTAAATGTAGGGAATCCCTGGAATTACAGGTTTTTCATTTGTGATTATAGTAATAAAAAAAATATATTAATGCATTGTTACTTTTTTAGGTTTACCAGGTACGTTTTCCAAACTTAAATAAATTGCAAAATTCTTTATTTCCTTTGTTTCGTACAAAACAATGCATTTTCCTGACTCTCTATACGATTTCATCGTTGATCCCTATCTTGATGTCAGAATTCCTCAATATTTGGGTTCAAATAACTCTTACTTAATATTCCGTAGACTTTCTTTTGATGTGTCGATCGATATTTCGGTCAATATTTTTAGTCTGATTTGTGTTGCAATGGATTCCAAGTCTTCCATATTTTATTCAGATGTGGACTCAATATTGTTTATTAAGAGAATTACAATTATATTATATTTGGTTTGTGTTTCACTAATTTGTGTCAATACAGGGCCCAGAGGTAAACGAGGACCGCCAGGAGTTAACGGCGTTAACGGTATGATTAGACACCGGGTTTTGAGTTACGAAAGCCTATTATTTACAATAAATTTCTTATTAATCATTGAATAGGAATACCAGGAATACAGGCGTGGAAACACCACAACTCAAGCTTATTAAGTATGAAAAGAGTTTTCGGTCTATTTATATAGAATCCTATTATAATGTAATTGTCGTGAAACTGTTGACAACAGTCGCGCCACAAATTGGAGATCTGTCTGAAATGCAACAGACGATTGTCGTGAAGGAGAATGAAAACGTACGGCTCAAGTGTACGGCCAGTGGCTCTCCTAAGCCGGACATCACTTGGCGTCGCGACGATAACAAAGCCATATCTTTGGGCTCCGTTACCCGTAAATCACTCTTTCATTCATTCATCAATTTTATCTCAAACCCAACCATTAATTAATAATTTCAATCACAGACACAATGATTGCTGGGAATAGAGTTAACATTACGCGCATCAGTAGAGAGCACTCCGGTATGTCATTAGATAAATAAATGATAATTATCGGCATTTGGCTAAAAATGAATTTTCTATAATATTCTTAAACCTGGCTATTTCACTATTTAATTAGGAGTGTATGTGTGTATCGCCACGAATGGTGTCCCTCCCTCTTCCTTCAAGAAATTCAATGTTGAAGTGACGTGTGAGTCAGCCCTATATTAAGCTACAGAATATTCTTTGTATTAACAATTTGTTTGTGTGATCGGCCATCAGTTCCACCTCTGGTCAAGATAGCGACCCCTAACCAGATGGTGGGCACAAATAACGGTAGTTTCACAATACTGGAGTGTTATGTCGAAGCCTTCCCTCCGCCACTGAGTTACTGGCAATTCGGAGATAAGATTATTGAAGGGAACTGGAAGTATAAGTTGGATCAACAGGAGTTGTCTGCCTTTACGTTCAAATTGATTCTCAATATAACTTATATCGAGTCAAATGACTACGGAATGTATAAATGCATTGCAAAGAATGAGAGGGGTAAAACTCACGGAGTTTTTACTGTCTTTGGTCAGTCACTCTTTGTTTTATTAATCATTACTAAACTTTTAATTACTTTTAATTTAATTATTTACATAATAGAAATTGATCCGCGATTACCGAAAAAGCCTATAGATGAGCCCTCGTATGTAATATATGGAGAGGTATTGCATAACATCATTAACACTATTCATGAAATTAGAGTCAAATTCCAACGACATCTAAAATATTCATTTAATTAAATATTTATTACTTCTATTAGTACTATACTGTATTGTCCGGTTGTGAACACACAATACAATCTCTATTGTTTTGTTTTGCAAATAAATTAAGCAAAAATTAATTATTTATTGCAATTCTCTATACAAAACCTATACTGTTAATTATTAAGTACTGTATAAAATATTCTGATAGTTATTCTAAAAATTCTAGAAATATAATCACACAATTCATTTTAATTTCATGAATATTTAAATAATATTTCGCTGATTATTAACATTCAAAATGTGTTTAATTGATCCGATTGATGCCCTTTAGGTGCCTTTACCACCAGTTGAAGCTCCAGAGTGTAGTCCGTGTCCGGAATGCAATCAAATAGTCCAAAGGCAATGCAAAAGCAATGGTAGGCCTAAAATAGGTTCCGTGAGTTTGGCCACACATTACAACAATACTTCGTGGAAATCATTGTCTAAACGCACAAATCGTAATACAATTAATTTTAAGTAATATAAATCAATGTTAATATTTGATATATTTTGCAGATTGTCTGTTGAGTCAGATCGGGAAACCTGTGTTTTACAGGGACTCGGACTCTGAGTGGGGCTGTTGGATGAAAGACCCGATGCCTCTGAAGCCGGGAGACGAACATAAATACTGGTTGACCACCAAAGATGATAAGAAATTGTTGAGTGAATTCAGTAACAAAGAGTTGTTTAGGAATAAAGAGATTTCTCGAAATTATAGTCTTTTATACAAGTTTTCGGGTAATTCTCAGGCAATATATTCCGGTTCATTCTACTATAGCGAAGAGGGAACCAATAAATTAGTTATTTTCAATTTATACACAAACGACTCGTCATATCTGAATGTGATGGACGGCACCAGGAGGTTGTCCAACCAGTTCTTATACACCACTCAATACAACTATATGGACATTTCGACCGACGAGAACGGACTGTGGGTTATATTTCCCACAAATTACACAAACAATACAATGGTTATGAAGTTCAATGGCACACAAGTGGAGTACATCTGGAATCTAACCATTGATCACAAGACTGTGGGAGAAATGTTCATTATATGCGGTGTTCTCTATGGAGTGGAAAGTGTTTCCGAGAGAAATACCAAAATAGAGTTCGCATACGATTTGTATCGAAACCAACAAATTGAGGTTTCCATTGATTTCACGAACCCTTTCAGTCAAACAAACTTCATATCATATAATCCTAAGTACCAGAAGCTGTACACTTGGGATAAAGGGAATCAATTAGAGTACCCAGTACGTTTTAATGAGTCCATTGATATCAATAANATAAGACAACCGACTCTAATGTCAACTAAAGTAAACACCAAAATATACTTTTATAATCATTTATAAATCACATTCAATGGCTCTAAACATCTCCACTCTCTCGCATCCAATCATAAATGCATTATAGTTTGTATCCGATATACAGTGCACTACAGTCTCTCCATATGAGATGAGTTGTTAATCTTGAAAAGCCAGTCTCCATGCAAAACATATCTCCGGTGATAAACCACTTGATGACCACTACTATATATTATAAATACTGTATGTGGTTTATCACCCGTAATGCTCGTGGTGACTTTCTATAAGACACCTAGAGAAAAGTAGTCTATAAGACAGAAGTGGTTTTATAGACTTACAACTGGACTATACTGTCAATTACAAACTTTTTCAGTAACATTTTATTTAAATTATCATTTATAAATACTTTAAAAGATTTAAACAAATAATTTTACATGTTTGATTACTATAAAATAAATGTTAAGATAAATTACAAATGTTTTTATTTTTATAATTAATTTCTATTCTATATAAATTTATTAACAATCAAAATACAAACAAGTATTTTAGCAAAATAAGATATAAATAAAATAATTTATTATTTAAGTTTTTTGATCATTTAAACTACATTTAAATTTGGAAATATTTAAGTAGAAATTCATTAAAAGTACAACTGTATTTCAAAAAGGTTAAATAAAAATATTTTTCAATAAATACAATATTGCTACTGAATTTAAATTTAAAATAGTACATTTCCACTTTATGCATTCAATTATTATTTTACTTAAATAAATTGTATACAACTTATTTAAAAATTAATATGGATTTGCTTTTAGACCTATAAAACACAATTTGTACAAAATTAAATAAGTTTGTATATAATTTGAATTTATCTCAATAAATATTGTACTTTGTTATTAATATATAATAAGTCTAAATACAGGATTTAATATTTTAAATTAATACTGGTTGTATTAAATTTACTAATTTTGGAACAAATAGAATTCATAAAAAAATTTATTAACGTGTTAAATTGTTGAATATTTCTATTAGTAATAATTAATTTTCATAATTAAGAAAATATTTCAAAGAATAATAGCCACTACGGTATTTATAAATTGAAAGCATACATGTACAATTCTTACCATTCTTACAATTCTTACAATTCTTACAATTCTTTTAGGGATTACTTTTTAAGTTGTGTTTAGTTAAAGAAAAACTTTGATTGCAGTGCAGTAGTTATGTGTCATCTATTGGTTGGAAGTGAAAATAAATTCTGTTGATTTCATTATACAGTAATACAGAATATTTTCCTACATTAGAATTTGGTGTCATTTTGTATAGAAATCATATAAATAATCGAACCAATCAACTGATAAATTATGTATAAATGCCTAATGTTCAATATGAATTATAATTATAATAGACTATGAATGTTAGTTGGACAAACTTAAAATATTAATAAAGATTCACTATAAGTTAAAAAAATTAATTTGAGATGTTTTTTTCAATAACTTATTATTATATCAGATAAATGGGTGCAAAGTATTAGAAATCATTGAAAAGACAAATTGCATAAAAAAATCATGTTGTAATTAAACTTACTATCTCTACCTGGTGTGATATAAGAATATTATGGTCAAGAATATTCGCTTAGCTTTGTTAATTTTTGATATTCAGTTTTTAAGTTTGTCACTTAAAGTTTGTATAACTTGTCGTTTATACAAACCAATATGGATATTAATTACCATAGAAAGACATTTTTATGTACTGAACAAACGTTTAAGTTAATTTACTTCATAAAGAATAGTGCATGTTAATAGTATACTATTTATATAATTTTATAATCAACTTGGTATAAATAAACAATTCATTCATAGTTTTAATTTATTTAATCAAATTCATTAAATATATACAGGTAATAATAATTGTTATTCTTGTATTAAAGAGTATTTTATTTCATTAATAAAATTTTCAAAATCTTTTGAATATAATTTAAGTTAAAAATATTAAATAAATATTTTTTTACACAAATTTTATAAAATTGAACTCAAAATGTATTATCTGCATCATCGGAGTCATTATCAAGATTATTGATATCAATGGACTCATTAAAACGTACTGGGTACTCTAATTGATTCCCTTTATCCCAAGTGTACAGCTTCTGGTACTTAGGATTATATGATATGAAGTTTGTTTGACTGAAAGGGTTCGTGA